GACCAAACCACTGTCCAAGGCCAAGGTGATGAACTTCTGTCAGATGCTAGGACTAGGTGCATCAAGTGGGAGTTCTTAATGTGCAGAGGTGCACAATCAGGGGGGAGTGTTGCTATTAGTGCCTGTGCACCTCAGACTAATTGCCAGGTTCCCCACCTTCCATATTAATGATGTGTGCACTTATTTTCTTCAGTTGTTCTTTGTTTGTTCAGTGTTCGCATTTTTACTGTGCACAGAGTATCTTGTTCTTTAGTTACTGACTCTGTGCACATAGGTGTGTAAAACTACATAGACAACAATTAAGTTACTGACTCTGTGCACATAGTGCTGAGCATTGGGATATCTTAACACTCCCACCTTCGAGTTTGGGGGTGTACTGCCTATGTGCATATCCAGAAGGACAAGAGGCGACCCCTGGAGTCCCACATGGAGAAATGTGTGTTTATTGGGTACCCAGAGGGCTACAAAGGCTGGAAATTCTACAATCCCACCACAAAGCGCACACTCATCTCAGAAAGGGCTGATTTTGATGAGAGGTACTTCCCTTTGTCCACTCGCCCTTCCACACCTTCCCTACCTGCGCCTCTCCCTCCAAAACCTACCCAAAACACGCCAGTAGCTCCTATACCCTCCATTCCACCCCCTACAGCGAAGTACTACCATCCAAGCACAGACCTGGACACAGATAGTGACACTGATGATGATCTGGATCAAGGGGGAGAGATTGAGCCTGTGGCAGCTGATCCAGACCCCATACAGCCTCCTGTTGCAATTCCAGAGGTCATACCTCCTCCCCCTCGCACTCCCTCGCCTCCACCTCCTCCTAGACCTGCCAGTCCCATTGGAATTGGTGCCAGACTGCCTGCTAGGCGCAGACAGAAGCCCAGAGACTGGTGGAAGCTGTCTCCTGCGCAATTAGAGGATGTGGATGACCTTGATGACAGTGATGATGAACTGGCCATGTCTGCATCCATCCCTGATGAGCCACTCACATTTGCAGAGGCTATGCGTCGCCCTGATGCAGATAAGTGGAGAGAGGCAGCCCTGGAGGAGTTAGCTGCTCACCAGAGCAATGGGACTTGGAAACTTGTCCCTAGACCTGCTGGGAGCAAGGTGATAGGCTCCAAATGGGTATTCAAGGTGAAGAGGAATGCAGATGGCTCTATAGATCGCTACAAAGCGAGATTGGTGGCCAAAGGGTATAACCAGCGCCCTGGATTTGATTATCTCGAAGTCTTCGCTCCAACAGCTCGCCTTTCATCGATTAGAGTCATTCTGGCCCTGGCAGCTCTTCAGGACCTTCACCTTCGCTCTGTGGATGTCTCTCATGCCTATCTCAATGGGGAGATGGACTGTGAGGTCTACATGACCCAACCAGAAGGATTTGTGGAGGGAGACCCAAAATCTCAGGTGTGTCTGCTGCAGAAAGCGATCTATGGCAGCAAACAGGGCGGAAATCGCTGGAACAAGAAGATGCGCTCTGTACTGGAGTCCCTTGGCTTCAGACAGACCTATTCTGATGCTAGCACCTATATCTACTCCAAGGATGGAGTAACCATCATTCTGCCTGTGTTTGTGGATGATATGACTCTAGCTTCGAAATCTGAGACTGCCATCGACTCCTTTGTCTCACAACTGAGCCAGCACTTCAAAATCCGCAATCTGGGCCCTACAACTCAACTCCTGGGCATCAAAATCGACAGAGACCGCCCCAATCGCTCCATATCCATCTGTTAAGATATCCCAATACTCAGCACTCTATGTGCACAGAGTCAGTAACTTAATTGTTGTCTATGTAGTTTTACACACCTATGTGCACAGAGTCAGTAACTAAAGAACAAGATACTCTGTGCACAGTAAAAATGCGAACACTGAACAAACAAAGAACAACTGAAGAAAATAAGTGCACACATCATTAATATGGAAGGTGGGGAACCTGGCAATTAGTCTGAGGTGCACAGGCACTAATAGCAACACTCCCCCCTGATTGTGCACCTCTGCACATTAAGAACTCCCACTTGATGCACCTAGTCCTAGCATCTGACAGAAGTTCATCACCTTGGCCTTGGACAGTGGTTTGGTCATCAGGTCAGCAGCCTGGGCATCAGTGGGGACAAAAGTGGGCGCAATGAGGTTGTCCTGGACTGCATCTCTAAGCCAGTAGAAGCAGAGTTCAAGTTGCTTCATTCTGCCATGGTGTTCAGGATTCTTGGCCACAGAGATTGCAGATTGGTTGTCCATGTGCAGCACAGAGGGAGAAGACAGTGGAGAAGCGATTTCAGAGAGTAAATTTCGAAGCCACTTGATCTCCTTGCCTGCCTGGACAGCTGCTATGTATTCTGCCTCAGTGGTAGATAGAGCAACGACATTTTGAAGCTTGGAACACCAGGAGATTGCTCCAGTACCCATCTTGACAACATATCCACCTGTAGAGCGACCAGTATCCTTGCAGCCACCATGATCTGCATCAGAGAAGGTGGTGAAGGGCTCAGAGGTTGAAGGATCAGGAGAATAGGTCAGGGAATAGTCCAGAGTACCCTTGATATAGCGCATTAGGTGCTTCACAGCCTGCCAATGAGCCCAGCCAGGATTGGAGTTGAATCTGGCCAGAACTCCAACAGTATAGGCAATGTCTGGGCGGGTAGTGGTGGCAAGGTATGTTGCAATAAATGCGACCAGACAGGGGATTGAACCCTGGACCTCCCAGGTTTCGACCGGGTGCTCTAACCACTGAGCTATTTGGTCAAGGTATCTAGGCTTACTTGGTGTGGTTTAACCACCAAGTGCTAGTAGGGACTAGCGTTGCTGAGTGCTGGAGTATTACACTTGCAACAGTTCTGGGGCTACTGGCAACAAATATAGGGCTAGAGAGTGAGGGATAGGTCCAGGAAGTATGGAAAGATGCGCAGCAGTGGATGATGTGGCAAATGACATGTCCAGAGAGTCCTAAGGCACAGGGCTCATAACCTGTTAAGATATCCCAATACTCAGCACTCTATGTGCACAGAGTCAGTAACTAAATTGTTGTCTATGTAGTTTTACACACCTATGTGCACAGAGTCAGTAACTAAAGAACAAGATACTCTGTGCACAGTAAAAATGCAAACACTGAACAAACAAAGAACAACTGATGAAAATAAGTGAACACATCATTAATATGGAAGGTGGGGAACCTGGCAATTAGTCTGAGGTGCACAGGCACTAATAGCAACAGCTCATCTCCAACTTACTTGACTCTCCAAGCTGTGCTAAAGTCTACCCTGGGGGTAGATAGAAAAGGGTTTAGTTCAACCCAGAGGGATTCTGAGCTTGGATCAGTGAAAAAGAGACAAAGGAGTGGATTTGAGTTGGGCAGAATAATGGAATAGTGAAAGGAGTGAGTAACAACATCATGGCTGGGAGAAGGTTCAGCCAGAGAGGGGCTACAAACTCAAACCAAGGGCAGAGGGGACAGGCAAGGTTGTTCAAAGTCAGTTCTTTGAACTCAAGTATGATTTGAAGCCAGGAGGAGGGGTCAAAGTCAAAATGACTGAGCCACTGGGGCCCTAGGGCATGGGGAGAGATGGTGAGTAGAGGTTGAGGGGTGCTTGATGAACCTTGAGCCTGGATCAGCTACTTTGATTTAGTGTCATGACCATGTCTGGACTACTCTAGACTGGCTCTACCCTGGTCTTGACCAGTCTCATCCAATCCTTGCCCTGGTGCCAGCCTTAACCCTTTGACCCAGAAATGTGTTAGCTTGTAAGGCACTGCAAGGCAGTGCCCAGTCAAGTTGTCTGCTCAGTTGGTACCAGGCCAATGTAACACCTGGTCCAGCCACAGGTCCTGTCCTGGTTCCTGGTAAAACCTTTGTTCATAGTTTTGCTTGATAATATTCTTTGTAACATTACTTACCAATCAGTTTACCAATCATCATTGTACTGGCATAGACTGGTCTCTGGTGCTATGTTACACTTAGGTTACTTCTAGTATTTAAGCTGTAGGATAATCTGTTTAGCCTCAGTCTGAAATCAACTTAGTCTTGTCATAACCTGGTCCCCTCTGTTCTCTGTCTCCTGCCTCTTGACCAGGCTACAGCCCATGCAAGGGAATAGCACTGTGCCTTCAGTCGCTAAGTCCAACAGTCCAACCCCCTTAGTATCTTGTATTATCCTCTGACCCCTGACTGGACTCTGGACCAGCTTTGGACTGGTAAAGACCCAGACTTAACATTTGGGCACCTTGACTTCAAGCAGAATTTGGGGTGTCAGTGCAAACATGATGAGGGGGAGAGAGTCCTGGAGAGGACAGAGGTGAAGCAGGGGGAGCTACCTGTGAACTTGAACTACCATGACCACAAGCCAGGGCCCAGAAGTTGAGCCTCTCAAGGGATCTCCTGACCTGTAGGTGGTACAACTTGGCCATGAATAATCCTACACCTGCCTGAGATATGAAGTGTACACACTGCACTGAGCTCAAACATGACCTTCTCAACCACAGAAGAAGCAGAAACTGAACTGCTCGAGGGCAGGTTTCTTCAAGGCTCCCTGATGAACAGGGGAGTCATTTGAGCAAAGGTTGAGTCGAGGGGGACTCTTTGAAGTTGAACTGGGCTGTGGGGAGGGCTTACTCAAGGCTGGATGAGAATTTGCATCATTCAAAACCAACTTGAAGCGAAGTTGGATGCTACTTGGAGGCCCTTGCTGAGGAATGGGGACACACAGGCTCGAAACTGGATGAGGGGGACCACTCAAAGTTGACTCGAAGCAGCGAGAGGGTCTACTCGAGGTCGAAGGTTCACTTCAAAGAGGATACTGGCTATTCAAAGCTGAAGGGGGCTCAACTTGATGAGGGGGGTCTGAACTCTACCACTTCCCTGTGCCATCACCAACCAGTTGGTTCAATGGCATCACCACCTTCTTTGCAAGCCATCATGAAAGGCCTTGAACAAAGAGCCTCGACTGTGCCTCAATGTCCAAAATTCCCTGCTTTATGAGATGCAGGAACTGCTGCTGGAAACTTCAAAGGTACTGCCCTAGGGATGAGAGCAAATCAAATTCAAAGGTATGAGCCTTCTTGAGAATGGCAAGGAGCTCATTGAGGGGGTCAAGATCATCTCCTGGCTGCTCAAGCTCAGGGTACTGCTGGATGACCAGGCCTATGAATTGATCCCATTCACCATTACTAGGCTCAATGAAGTGCAACCAAAGCTTCAATGAGCTTGGAGGTGCAAACTGAAGTGCAACTTGGATGGTTGCCTTGTCTTCAAAGACTCCCCTTTCCTCACAGTACCTGACTACCTGCTCAAAGTAGTCTTGAAGGTCCTGTGTGTCTCCTGAGAATTCAGGCCTTCCTGCTGATGGGAAAATACAGCCACACATAAGTACCAAGGACTTGAAGTGAGCTCAAAGGTCTATGATGCAATCCTGAAGGTTTTGACTACTCAGACAGTGAGTGTGAACAGCGAAAATGTGAGCTTGAAGTGGAAATTCTCAAGTTGAAGGGCCAAAATGCGAACTCAAGCACTCAAGGGGCACCAACTACCCAGATACAATCCTGAAGGCTAGAATTCAACCAGTAACACTAAGACATGAATACTAGTGATATAGATTTGAACCCAAAGCCCTGAAGAGCCAATCTATGGCTGGAGGCAACCAAGAATGACTGAAAAAAAACCAAAAAATGAGTGGGAGGGCTTTGGCACAACTAAAGATGACTGCTGGAGGTGAAAACAAGAGCACAAATAGCAGAGGTACAACCCTGGAAGACTGAGGGGTTCTCAAAGCTGAACACAGAAAACTGGTTCAATGGGGACTCGAGTGGCTCAGAACTGCGCCAAAGGGCAGAGAATACAATGACAGGTGACTGGGGGTGGTGACGTGCAGCACTAAGATGCTAAAAATGAGCCAGAAACACTGCCAAGAGTAAAACTCTGGCAGCAGGAGGGGGAGAGGGTGATTCTGGGGGTAATGTGCCAAAAAGCGACCTTGTGCAACTTCAAATGGGTGTGGGCAACTCCTATGGACTGATACCAAGCACTGGCGACGATAAATGGCTTAAGACGGCTGAAAATGGTGGGAAAAGGCCCAGGGTAGCTGAAGCAATGGTCCAAGTGGCTCGAAGGGGTCGCGAATGCGAAAAATGCGGTTCAATGGTGACTAGAATGGTAAAAGACAGACGAAAATGATGGGGAATGAGTGAGGTTGATGCAGAAGACCTTGTATGACCAAAAACAAAAACACAAAGAGAAATGGCTTCGAACAGCCAAAAATGCGACTGGAGAGGGCTCTGGGGGGCAAAGGCACACAAATGTGGCCAGAAGCGCTGAAAACGGTTGGGCAGGGAGCCTACTGGCAGATAGGCGATTGAAGGCGATGAAACGGCATGCTAGGAGTCTGAAAACGCGCTGGAAAAATGACTTCAAGAGGGTAAAATGCAACCTGAGGGGACTTTTGAAGGCAAAATGCCTAAAAGCGATATGACAGGGGGTTCGAGCGGCTCAAAACGGCTGGATAGGAGTGAAAAGCGAACACAGGCAACAACCTACAACTCCAGAGGGCCAAAAAGTGAAATCCAGGCAGGAGGAGGAGGAAGGGATCCAAGCTAAGCAGAGCCCCTTGCAGTGGGCTCCAGTTGTAGGAATAGGTAATTGATGGTACCTAGAATTAGTAAATGTTAGTGATGGGAAAGTATTGTGCTTGACCCAAAAGGGAGGTTCTCACTGGAGAAAAGAAGTGTAGTAAAAAGGTGAAAAATGCGAACTGGAAAGAAAACTTAGCTCTGGGCTGCTGCCTGCTATACTAAACCTATTGTCAGTCCTCCTGGCCCTTCGGGTACTCCCCAAAGTAATAATTCTAACCTCAAAAACTTGCCAAAATGCAAGATGAAATCACCCTACTACTGAGGGCCTCTGACATGGATTTTTTGTTTTTGGTAAACTGAACTCACATGAACACAGTGCACATGCTTAGTCAGCAACATGGCTGCTCGCCACCAAGTCCAGTGGTACAAACATGAAAAACAAAAGAAAGAAAGAAAACAAAAGGAAACCCTCCACCCCTAAACTCCTGACTGAGACAGCTTCTCCTAGGGAACTCAAACTCATTCCCTACACTGCAACTGGCCTGAGCTGCAGAAGGTGTGAGACATCCAATCCTTCCTTGGCTTCACAAACTTCTACAGATGATTCATTAATAACTACTCTGACATTGTTGTTCTGCTCACTTGCCTCACACAAAAGGGTGCTCCTTGGAACATTCCCAAGGAGTGTCACTCCACTTTCCTCCACATGAAGGATGCCTTCAGCTCCACTCCTATTCTCACTCACTGGGTTCCTGATGCTCCACTTACAGTTGAAACCAATGCTCCTGACTATGCCATTGCCAGCATTTTGTCACTCACCTGCTCCAATGGTGAACTCCAACCAGTTGCTTTCTACTCCTGCACCATGACCATGCCAGAACTCAACTATGATACCCACAACAAGGAGCTGTTGGCCATCTTTGAGGCCTTCTGCCATTGGTGGCATTACCTAGAAGGTTCTGCCTTACCTGTTGACATGGTGATGGACCACAAAAACCTTGAGTATTTTTCCACCTCTACGGTTCTCACTTGTTAACAGGCCTGCTGGTTGGAGTACCTTTCACAGCTTAACCTTTCCATCTGCTTCTGACCTGGCCACCTGGGAGCCAAGCCTGATGCACTTATGCAATGTTGGGATGTCCACCCTAAAGGGGGGGATAGGGACTATGCACAGGTCAATCCTCACAATCTCTGCCCTATGTTTACACAGGAGCAACTTGCATTGTCTCTCTGTACCACCACCCTCATGGCACCTGTACTCTGTGCCACCAGTGTGACTCTGTGATGCAGCAAGGCACATGCAAGTCACAGAGCTGAGTCTTTGGACCAGTGCAGGTAAGCATCACTTTCTCTCTTCCTCCCATGCCATCACCTCATCCACCACTCCTCATTGTCACATCCACACACTCCTGCCATCCAAATCACTGCTGCTCCTTTGACCCTGCACAAGTCCCCATTCCCCATCTCTCACACAACTCTCAACAATGGCTGACCCCAACCTCAAACAATGTTCATATTAGGTGCCTGTGCACCTCAGGACTGCATTTATCCTCTGTGTTATTTCTATCTAACCCTACAGACATGTAGTGGACACTTAGCTTCGCTCTAAGTGTCCTTGGTTTGCTTTTGTTTACTGTTTACCTTTGTTTATCATTTTTGCGCACTTACTGTTGTGTGCCCAGTGAAGTTTTCTTCAGTCTCTTACACTGGGCACAAGGTATGTCTCATGTAGTATTCCCTTGAATACAAGTCTCTTACACTGGGCACAAGTGGCCTCAGTCTGTGGTTATCTCAACAGGTTATGAGCCCCGCGCTCTAGGATTCTCAGCACTCGTTGGTCGCCACGTAATCCACCTCTGCTGCAAAACCTCGACCCAAACGAACCACACACTCGCTCGCTACAGCTCAATCTTCGAGCTCCCAGCTTCCAGACTCACCCCATCCACCCCTATCCTTCTCCTTTCGACTCGAAATTCGCCACCATGGCTGAGGACCATGCCAACTCGTCGCCTGCTGTCGCAAAACTCACTGCCTCCAACTACTCGACCTGGAAAGGTGAAATGAAGGCTTTCCTGCGCACAAAAGGGCTCTGGACCATTGTTAGTGGTCTGGAAAAGCGCCCTGATGACTCCAAAGTCGAAGCTCAGGCCAAATGGGACCTTAGAGCGGACAGGGCAGCTGGAGAGCTCTACCTAGCGCTTTCTAGGTGAGCAGAGGACCCATGTAGATGCTGTACAGGATGACCCTGTCCAAATCTGGTACGACTCTAGCCTCCATCCACCTCCAGCAGCGCCCTGGAGCTCGTTTTAATGCCTGGGATGACTTCTTTTCAATCAGGAAGGCCCCAGATGAGTCCCTGACCTCCCTAATCGCTAGAATCGAAGATTCCATGTCCAAAATCCAGGAATTGCGCCCTAGGGATCCCTCTACTCCCTACTCCATCAAGGACTTGGACAATGAGCTGGTCTGCATGGCTATGATTCGCTCTCTAGGCGAAGAATATGCGCATTTTGCGTCCTCCTTACTTCCTATTCCACTCTCTGGACAAAGAGAAACTTAAAGAGGCATTCCTGGCTGAAGAATCGCAGCGCAGGCGTCGCCCTGATCCCAGTACATCAGAGACCTGCGCTTTTAACCTCCTCTGGCGATTGCAAGTGCCTAAGCTTCGTCGGTTTGCTCGTTCTGCGAATATTCAGGCCACTGCATCCACAAATGCCCTAACATTGCGAGATCTAAAGCCTACTATCGCTCTCAGAAGAACAGGAAGGAAAAGAAGACTCCAAAAACCTGCAAATCAAGCATCTGCTTCGTCCCCTTCGCCCCAGGCCTCTGGCTCATCGCCCTCTACCTCCTGGCAAAATCAGAGCGCGTCCCAAGCTGTGGAATTTGCAGGAAATGCAAGTCTTCGCTTCCCTGACCCCTCTTCCCTCCTCTGCCCTCTGCAGCTCGATGCTGATGTCCTTTGGATCGCAGACTCGGGGGCCACTGCTCATATGACGCCCCATCGCCATTGGCTGCGAAATTACAGCCAAAAACGCGTTCCCTATCAAGCTGGCAGACAATAAATTGATCTACTCAGCTGGGGTTGGGTCTGTAGTATTTGAGCCTGTGGTGGGAGGTAGAAAGCGTCGCCCTGTGGAGTTTAGCAATGTCCTGCATGTGCCAGACCTTCGAAATAATCTATTATCTGTCTTATATCTCTGTCGCAACAAGGGCTTTACTGTGACCATCAATTCTTCGCAGATGGCATTTAGGCTTCGCTCCCAACATTCCCTCTTCATTGCACGAATTTCAGACAACAACTCGGCCTTCCTTGAGGGGGAGACTGTTCCCCTCACTGAGTATGCCTCTGCAGCAAGCACTCTGCCTCTGGATTTCGACCTATGGCACAGGAGACTTGCTCACCACAACCTGATTGGTGTCAAATCGCTGCTGGAGCGAAATCTGGTCACTGGGATGACCCTAGACTCCAAATCCTCCCCTGACCCCATCTGTGAACCATGCCTGGCTGGAAAGATGCATGCAAACCCCTTCCCCACCTGCTTCCTGGCGCGCTTCTAGGCCTCTGGAACTCGTCCACAGCGATGTACACCATGTAGGACATGCCTCCTTCTCAGGCTACAAGTATTGGGTCACATTCATTGATGATTTCACTCGCTATCGCTTTGTTTTGCCTCTGAAAGCGAAATCTGAGGTCTTTGAGGCCTTCAAGACCTTCAAGGCCTTTGCTGAGAACCAGAGCGAACGAAAAATCAAGATTTTGCGAGATGACAAGGGAGGGGAGTATATGAGCAACTCCTTCATCGATTTTACCACCAAATGCGGAATCCTGCGCCAGCACACAGTCAGAAATCGACCCCAGCAAAATGGAGTGGCAGAGCGAGCCAACAGACTGCTCTCTGAGCGGCTTACTGCAATGCTGGACGAGTCTGGCCTTCCTAAGGCCTTCTGGGGCGAGTGTCTAGCCTCCTTGGTCCATGTTTGGAACAGATGCCCCACTGAAGCAGTCCAAAATGCGACCCCCTATGAACTATGGCATGGGAGAAAGCCAGATGTCTCCCACCTTCGAGTTTGGGGGTGTACTGCCTATGTGCACATCCAGAAGGACAAGAGGCGACCCCTGGAGTCCCACATGGAGAAATGTGTCTTTATAGGGTACCCTGAAGGCTACAAAGGCTGGAAATTCTACAATCCCACCACAAAGCGCACAATCATCTCAGAAAGGGCTGATTTTGATGAGAGGTACTTCCCTCTGTCCACTCGCCCTTCCTCACCTTCCCTACCTGCGCCTCTGGCTTCCAATCCTACCCAAAATGCGCCAGTAGCTCCTATGCCCTCCATTCCACCCCCTACAGCGCAATACTACCATCCAAGCACAGATCTGGACACAGATAGTGACACTGATGATGATCTGGATCAAGGGGGAGTGATTGAGCCTGTGGCAGCTGATCCAGACCCCATACAGCATCCTGTCGCAATTCCAGAGATCATACATCCTCCTCCTCGCACTCCCTCGCCTCCAGCACCTCCTAGACCTGCCAGTCCCATTGGAATTGGTGCCAGACTGCCTGCTAGGCGCAGACAGAAGCCCAGGGACTGGTGGAAACTCTCTCCTGCGCAATTAGAGGATGTGGATGACCCAGATGACAGTGATGATGAACTGGCCATGTCTGCATCCATCCCTGATGAGCCACTCACATTTGCAGAGGCTATGCGTCGCCCTGATGCAGATAAGTGGAGAGAGGCAGCCCTGGAGGAGTTGGCTGCTCACCAGAGCAATGGGACTTGGAAACTCATCCCTAGACCTGCTGGGAGCAAGGTGATAGGCTCCAAATGGGTATTCAAGGTGAAGAGGAATGCAGATGGCTCTATAGATCGCTACAAAGCGAGATTGGTTGCCAAAGGGTATAACCAGCGCCCTGGATTCGATTATCTCGAGGTTTTCGCTCCAACAGCTCGCCTTTCATCGATTAGAGTCATCCTGGCTCTCGCAGCTCTCCAGGACCTTCATCTTCGCTCTGTGGATGTCTCTCATGCCTATCTCAATGGGGAGATGGACTGTGAGGTCTACATGACCCAACCAGAAGGATTTGTGGAGGGAGACCCAAAATCTCAGGTGTGTCTGCTGCAGAAAGCGATCTATGGCAGCAAACAGGGTGGAAATCGCTGGAACAAGAAGATGCGCTCTGTGCTCGAGTCCCTTGGCTTCAGACAGACTTATTCTGATGCTAGCATCTATATCTACTCCAAGGATGGAGTAACCATCATTCTGCCTGTCTTTGTGGATGATATGACTCTAGCCTCGAAATCTGAGACTGCCATCGACTCCTTTGTCTCACAACTGAGCCAGCACTTCAAAATCCGCGATCTGGGCCCTACAACTCAACTCCTGGGGATCAAAATCGACAGAGATCGCCCCAATCGCTCCATATCCATCTCCCAGCGACAATACTGCCTGGATGTCTTGAGCAGGTTTGGAATGGCAGACTGTAAGCCCATTTCCACACCTATGGAACCCAACCTTCGCCTATCTCGCCAGCAATCGCCTCAGAACCCTCAGGAAGTCGAACAAATGCGCCAGGTGCCCTATCTATCTGCTGTGGGTGCCCTGATGTACTTGGCCACCACAACTCGACCAGATATAGCCTATACCGTCGGAGTACTGGCCAGATTCAACTCTAACCCTGGCTGGGCTCACTGGCAAGCTGTAAAACACCTGATGCGCTACCTGAAGGGCACTCTGGACTATTCCATCACCTATGCTCCTGATCCTTCGACCTCTGAGCCATTCACAACCTTCTCTGATGCTGATCATGGTGGTTGCAAGGATTCTGGTCGCTCCACTGGTGGATATGTGGTCAAGATGGGTACTGGTGCAGTTTCCTGGTCCTCCAAGCTACAGGGAGTGGTCGCTTTGTCCACCACTGAAGCAGAGTATATTTCTGCAGTCCAGGCAGGCAAGGAGATCAAGTGGATGCGAAATCTGTTGCAGGAAATTGGCTTACCTCTCCCAGATGCTTCTACCCTTCGCATTGACAACCAATCTGCGATCTCTGTGGCCAAGAACCCAGAACATCATGGGAGGATGAAGCAACTTGACCTCTGCTACTACTGGCTAAGAGATGCAGTTCAGCAGAACCTGATTTCGCCTATTTTCGTCCCTACAGTCGACCAGGCTGCAGATCTTCTCACCAAACCGCTACATCGCACCAAGGTCATCGGTCTCTGCAAGATGCTAGGACTTGGCGCATCAGGGGGGAGCAGTTGAGTGCAGAGGTGCACATTCAGGGGGGAGTGTTCATATTAGGTGCCTGTGCACCTCAGGACTGCATTTATCCTCTGTGTTATTTCTATCTAACCCTACAGACATGTAGTGGACACTTAGCTTCGCTCTAAGTGTCCTTGGTTTGCTTTTGTTTACTGTTTACCTTTGTTTATCATTTTTGCGCACTTACTGTTGTGTGCCCAGTGAAGTTTTCTTCAGTCTCTTACACTGGGCACAAGGTATGTCTCATGTAGTATTCCCTTGAATACAAGTCTCTTACACTGGGCACAAGTGGCCTCAGTCTGTGGTTATCTCAACAAACAACACCCCAACTTCAAGTCAGCAGCTTTCCACAATATTCATGAGGCCATCATGGCAACAAGCTGAAGCCAACAAAGCACAGCATCTGGAGGATGAGCACAGAGAAGCAGAGGACACTGCACACAGACAGGCTGCTGAAGGGCCCAAGTATGATTTCAGGGAAGCAGAGTGCAAAAAACCCCAAATGAATGACTTCACTGCTGGACATCTGCCACCCAGTGTCATCATCAATAGGCCTTTCCAATACACCACCAACAAGCTTGCCACCTGTGACTACATCAAACCATGGTACTTCTCCCCTGAGGGATGCAGCGATGCTTCCAGGAGCTGCAACCAACCCACCAATGACACTTTCAAGTGCATACATCATGCCCTGGGCCTCACAGGATGCATCCTACATGTCCAATACATACCAAGTAACAGCAACCCTGCTGACCCTATTTCACACAGAATACATCCCCCCCTTTGTCTCCTCCCCCCAGACATCCAACACCTCATCATTGATGCCAACCAACCCCAAAACCCTTGATGCATCCCACTATCCAAGTTGACCCATATATCTATCATCCACCATTGCCCCAGCATCCCCCCCCCCCCCTTCCACCTTCCCCATCCCCCTCCACCACCCCCACTCAACAATGAACTCAAACATGACACCTCCTGCAGGCTTGCAAGCTCACCCCCCATGCCCAGCCAAAGAGCATCTAACAGCCTGGAAACCTACCAATCACCAAACCCCACCCCTCCCATTCACAAGTGCAGACACACAGTGCATATACAAGGTAATCACACACACCTGGTCTGACACTACCAGAGAGACCTATGGCTCTGGCCTCCTTGCCTTTCATACCTTTGTGATGCCAAAGGAGTCCCAGAGGACCAACATGCACCAGCATCTCCAGACCTCATCTCCTTCATCATCTCAACCATGGCCAGCTTATATGCAAACTCCACCATTGTCAACTACCTAAATGGGGTATGAGCATGGCACATCATTCATGGGCTATCCTGGTCCCTCAATGATGCAGAAACCAATGCTCTCCTCAAGGCCTCCAAATCCCTTCCCCCCCTCCTCCAAGCATCTGGGGGTGTCAATAGGGTTGGCATTCCCCATTGCAATCATCACCAAACTACAGACCAGCCTAAACCTCAACACCCCTCTTCATGCTGCTGTCTTTGCATGCCTTACCACCATCTTCTTCGCCACAGTACACACAGGTGAATTCACAGTCCCCAGCCTCAAAGCTTTCAACCTGACCATACACATCACTCCCCAGAATGTAAGTGTCCAATGCAATCAACAAGGACTGGAAGTTACCAACTTCCACATTCCCTGAACCAAATCTGCACCATCAGGTAAAGATGTCAACTGGGCCAAGCAAGATGGTCCCACAGACCCCCAACTAGCCCTAGCAAAGCACTTTGCCATCAACAACCCACCTGTGCAAGTGCACCTCTTTATGTACTGCACCAAGAATGGCCATTCCCCCCTCACAAGGCACACCTTCCTAAAAACCCCTGACTCAGCCCTCAAGACAGCCAACCTCCCTCCCCTCAAGGGACATGGCATATGTATTGGATCAACCCTAGAATACCTTCTCAGAAATGTCCCCTTCAACATCATCAAAGTGAAAGGTCATTGGGCAAGCAATGCTTTCCTCATATACCTCTGCTGCCATGCACAAACTCTTGCCCCATACATGCAATCTGAACCGAACCTCCACAATGCCTTCAATGAACCAGACCCTCAAGCAGTACCATTGTGTCTACTGTAACTACCAACAAGACAACTGGGCTGAGCTGTTACCTCTAGTGGAGTTTGCTTTTAACAACACACCAAGTGTGACTGCTGGAGTTTCTCCCATTTTCACTAACAAGGGATACCATCCAGACCTCTCTGTGGTCCCTGACCAGGACTTCACCTCTCTGTGGGCTCATGACTGTGTCATTGAGCTCTCCACCCTTCATGACTTCCTCCACTCCAAAATGTCCACTGCTCAGCAGTGCTACCAGGGTCCAGCAGATGCCAAATGCATACCTCTGCCTGGGTTCAAGGTTGGAGAACAGGTCTATGTCAAAGCAAAGTACTTCTGCTCCACTTGTCCTTCGGAAAAACTCTCCAAAAAGTACTTATGTCCATTCACCATCTTTGCCAGGCCAGGTATGCACTCCATATGCACTCAGTACATCCAGTCTTCCATGTCTCACAACTGGAAGCTGCAGTGGCTAACCCTTTCCCAAACTGACAACAACCTCTGCCTCTGCCAGTGGACATTGATGGTGACCTTGAGTATGAAGTGTTGGAGATACTTGACTCTAAGGTAGACTGCCATTGCCACCACTGCCAGCTCTTATACCTAGTCCACTGGGCTGGTTATGAGAACACCAATGAAGAAACCTCTTGGTTGCTTGCAACTGAGCTGGATCACACTTCTGACATAGTTTCTGCTTTCCATGAATGATATCCACACAAACCTGGCCCATACCAACCTCCACCATGATACTCCACCCACATAACCTTCCTCCATGAGCCAACTCCACCCCTTACTGAACTACCTTAAGTACTTTACATTTTTCTCCACTTGTCCATCTCATTTCTCAGAACCACAAGTAAAACCACAGGTCTATTCCATAGTAGTACAAAAATACAAACTAAAAATGAAAGACAAAAAAAAAAAAAAAGAAAAGAAAACTACCCTACTCTTCCATCTGTTATTCTTGGCCATCCTCCTGCCCTTCACCACCTTCCTGTTCTCCTCTGACTTCTTCCTCTTCCTTATTATCCCCCTCTGCACCTTGATCTGCCTCCCCATTTTGGTCCTCTGCTGCCTCCAACTGCAGCCTCTTCCATCCTCCTCCTGTGCACTTGAACTCTGCCATCCTGGCCTTGTGCACATCATCCCTCCTCCTCATCTCTGCCCATTCCACCTAGGTGCAGTACAGCCCCCACTTGTTGGCTGTCTGCTCTGCAGCCTCTGCCATCTACTTGGCTTCCCTTGCCATCTTCTCAAAGGCTGTTGTGGCCCTCTCATGCACTTCCACATACCTCTCTGCAGCCTGCAGCTGCCACTCCCACTCCCACTCCTGAGGGTCCCTCATGCAGTGTTTCTGGCTCCTCCTCATCCTCTCCACCTACCTCCTGCTTGTCATCTGCCTCTTCCATCTCTGTCACTCTTGCCTTCCCCTTCCCTCACAGCCTCTTCTTTTTCTCCCCTTGGGAGCTTCCTGTCCCTTCCCTCTTCTGCAAAGGCCCCACTGCTGCCTCTTCCCATGTCCAGCTACATGTCTTCTTTTTGTTGTGGCAGGGCATGCAGGCCCTGGTCTTACCCTGCCCTGGCTCACACTGACCCACCATCAGACTCTCTATGCAGCAAGTGCAGGGGGCTCTCCTGGTCACAGTGGCCACCACAGAGGTCCCAGGGACCCTCTGGGCAGTGTTGACATCATACACCATGCCACTTAACCTGACAAGGTGAAAATAGAAGTCAGCTCTGCCTGCCTCACAGCACTCCATCACTCACCTTTGTGTGGCCTCTCTCTGCTTGGCCTGGGCCCTCTCCTCCAATGCTCTCTGCTGCTGTCTCTCAGACTCCTCCACCACTGCTTCCTGCCTCTGCCTCTCCACCTCTTCCTCTGCTGCCTTCTTCTCTGCACTTCCTCCTCCTCTCTCTGCCTCTGCTCTGCCTCCAGTCATGCCTCCTCTGCCATTTGTCATTTGGCCTCCTCTCATTTGGCCTTATGCTCCACCTTGCACTCCCTCCCTCTCTGCTCCACCTCCTCCTGCCAATGAGCCTTCTCTGCATTCTTTTCATGCTCAGTGTCAGTTGAGTCATTGGTGAGGATGACCAATGCATCATCTGTGACTTGGGAGTAGTCATGGGAGTGGCCTGGGGTTGGCTGGGGGGTTGTGTTCTTGTACTGGAAGGACATGATGATGGGGGAAGAAGGTATAGGGTTTCTGTGCCCTAAACACATGTTTTTAAGCAGTTCTTCAAAGTCCAACAGGGCTCTGCCATGGCTAAACCATTGTCCTCAAGGCATCAAAACAATTTCAAATGATCAACTCATGTTGATCTCATTCTGAACAAGTGGCCTTCAGGGGTTCAGGCCCTAAGGGGGGGGCACTGTCATGACCATGCATTTATCCTAGGCCCTCACTCACTCCACATTCTCCTCTGCTGGTCATTCACTCATTCTGCACCAACTCCACTGTCCTCTGTCAGTTATGAACCTACTCCACTCTGACTGCTGTTGGACTTGTGTTAGTCTACCACCAGACTGTGCAGACTGTTCTCTGAGGGGTCATGTGACTCCCTTTTGGACTTCTCCCTGACAGTGCACAGTCAGGTACTCTGCAGCACATGCACTGCATGGTCCAGCACCTAGACTGTTTCCTTTTCAGGATGTTCTATGTTACCCATTGTATGTTCTCCATCTTCCCTTCATTTATTGTCTAGGAAGTTTACTTGAAATTTTATGGGTCTCCTTATGTCAGTTCTGATTCTGATTACTGTACCTCTGTAATAATATAAAAGCATGTATCAAACTCTGCTGTTCTTCAGTATGAATATTGACTTAGTTCTTACTCCCTCTGTCTCCATCTTCTGTCTGTCAGAGTTACCTCCAACTATCCATCTGTTCTCTCCCTCTGAAATATGAGGGCTGAGATTGTGCAAGGGGGTAGCACACAAGCTAAACCCAACACCCTCACTCTGCTCCACCTCTGTCTTGGCAGACTTCATCCCTGCCAACCCTCTGCCAGTTGGAGTTCTATCCTTCCATGTCAGACTTGCTTCTGAACCCTCCCCAGACTCTACCTAGTGTTGGAGTTGGTCAGAGTAGGCCCAAACTTGACAGATCCAGCAGATGTGAAAAGGCTACTGGTGCCCAAGATCAACCTTGGCGACCAGGTCTATGTCAAAGCCAAATACTTCCAGACCACAAGACCATCACAGAAACTCACAGACAAGAACCTAGGCTTTTACTTGGTAATAGCCCAGCCTGGCACCCACCCATTCACCCTTCACCTTCTGGACTCCATGTGTGTGGTACACCTGGTGTTCCATGTGTCTCAGTTAGAACCAGCACACCCCAATACCATCCTGAACTGAACCTAGCCACCACCTCTGTCATGCTCATGTCTCAACCCCAGCCAGACTTGGCCTTGCACTCATTCAGTCTGGCCTCAGCCTTGCCAATCCCTTATCCCCAGATGTCCTAGCATGGTGAACACTGCTTTGCAGTGCATGTCACTTCAGTTGAACTCTGCCCAGTCCTGTCCCCAGTCCACCCTGTCCCAGTCTCCATTACCTTAGTCATACCTTACTAATACTTGTCTTACCAATCATCTTAGCAATCTTTGCGAGACTGGCATTACTGGTCTCTGTACTATAGCTACTTCTAATATATAAACATTTAGATACTTGGCCTGTACCCTCCAGTCTGAAATCAATTAAGTTCTATCTGTAACTCTCAGCCTTGGACTCAGACTGCAACCCATGCAAGGGAATAGCACTGCATCCTCAGTCACTAAGTCCAATCAGTCCACCCCTTCATATCTTTGTCTTTCCTCCTGATTCTGACCCCTTGGCCTCACACCTGCTTTGGTCTCTGGTCTGGCCTCAACCCAGACATTACAAACTTGACAACCTCCTCTGGTCAAGGTGGACAACAACCTAGAGTACAAGATTGCTGAGATCCTCAACTCAAAGGTAGACTGATGACAGAAGTGCAAACTATAGTACTTGGCACACTGGGCTGGTTATGAGGGCACCAATGAGGAAACATCCTGGCTACCAGCCACTGAGCTGGGCAATGCTGAGGACCTACTCACCATGTTCCATGCCAGTTATCCCAATGAACCTGGATCAATCTCCAGCTAAAACATCTGTCTACCTTTTATTTTCTCTTCTTTTTCCTTGTACTTGCCTTCTCTTACTATACCAGGACAGTTGATGTGTTAAAAAATATATGTACACAGTATTTACATTTTACATCAGCATTCAGCTCAGATTGGTGTACTCACTTGGAGTCCCCCTTGAACACTTCCCCCTTGCTCATCCAGAGCTCTTGCTCTTCCCCACTCTCCAAACTGGACCACCACCCCTTCATGCACATGTCTTTGGGCCAGTGCATGATCCCCTTGTCCAACTCCATCCCCACTCCCTTGCAATCTGATCAGAGACTTTCAAGCTCCAGGTCTGCCACATCTGAGTGCAGCTCCTCGCTGGACTCAGATGCCAGGGGGGTCAGGCACAAGACAAACTCAAACTCACCCAACAGGTCACCCAACCAGCTGTTGAACCAGTGCTGGGTCTCTCTCCTGGCTTGCATCTCCACTGTCTGCTGGTCCATGGCTGCCACAATCAGTTTGAACCCCTTGACTACCACTGCTACCAAGGGGTTGGAGGGAGTGGCAGTGGGCTGAGGGGCTGGCCTCTGACTCACCAGGCACCCCAGACACAGTTTGAGTGACCTTTCTCTTCTCCCCAGCCCTCAGCAATGTAGCATCCTCTGGTGCTTGCTTCTTCCCAGACCCAGACTTCACCCCAGCCTCCTTGGCCTCAGGCTCTACCCCCTCAGGCAGCTTGCACCTGACCTTCATCTCAGTGCACTGGTTGCATGTCCTCTTCTTGCACTTACTCTGTTGCATGTGACTAAAGGTGCATGGCACCTGACCCTTTTTGCACTGTTTACATGACCCAGTACCCTTCTCCCATGCCTCACCTTTCAGCTCCCCTGTTTTCAGTTGCACCTGGGCCTCCTGTTCCCAGTGTTTGGCCTCCAACTGCTCCTGCTCTTTCCTCTCAGCCTCCAACCATTCCTGCTCCCACTTTTCAGCCTCCACCCACTCCCTTTCATGCTGCTCTGCCTCTAGTTGCTCCCTCTCAAGCCTCTCTGCCTCCAGCTGGGCAGCCTCTTCCCTCACAGCCTTGTGCTGCTTGCACTTGGCCATCTTAGCCTGAATGTTGGCTTCCTCATCATTGCTGGTAATCTGGAGCTCAGGTGTGGTGGCCCTTTGGAGGCTGGATGGGTCATTAGATTTGTGTGGAGAGACTTGATGAGTAGAGGACATGATGAAGGGTTAGGAGAAAGCAACCTTCACTAAGGCACACCTTTCTAACCCTGGGGGACACATGTTCTACCAATGCAGTGACTGCTGACCTCATGTACCTTAGGGTGGGTCTCAAGGGCTCAACCCTAAGGGGGGGGGATACTGTCATATGCCAAGAAACCCACAGCTCAGTCTTACATTCTGAACACTGAGTCAACACTGAACACCAAAACAAACTCTGTTCCTCACTATACTTTTCTATTAGCTTTTGTACTGCCCTTGCTTTGACTTTTAGTTAGTCCCTGGCATTGCTATTTAGTCCCTCACTGGTAACCCCAGCCTTTGGGTTGCTGGTCTTCAGTATATATACTCTATGTATGTTGTACTTAGCTCCCCAGTCTGAATATCAACCTAGTTTACCCCTAAGCTCCTAGCTTAAGCCCAAGTTGACTCTTGGCTTTTGCTCCTAATCACACCTCATCTTCCTCTGACTTCAACCTGGCTTGCACAAGGGTCTAGTGCCCAAGCTAAGACCAAGGGTTGTCACACTGATGCTTGGCCTTTGGCCTTTGACCCCCAACCCAGTCATAGACTTAACAAAAGGTGTCCACATTCATCCATGTGAAATAAAGTGCCTTCATCATTGGCAGTTTGGATGTTATTTGCATGGGATGATTGACTGTTGAGAAACATACTGGTTGTGGTAGTTGACATCAAAGATGTTTCCCCATTGGTGAAAATCTGACACTGCAGAAATAGATGATTTGAATTGTAACAACAATCAAGAGGCATCTGCAGACATTTACTTGCAAAGCAGTCTGCCAGATTGAGTGAATTGAGCTGGTTTTTCCAGGCAGGATTGTAAATACTTCCTCCACAGGACAAGACCAACTTTTCAGTGGCCTGTCAATTGCCATGATCAATGCTGACAGAGGAGTCAGCAAAAACATCAATGATGTTGTTGTAAATGATTACTGTTGCCAATTACCCTGCATTCCTATTTGGAATGATTGTAAAAACCCAAAAAGACACACAGAAATGGGGTAAAGTATTCCCAGGGAATTCTGAGGGGGGGGATTTATAGATGAGAATGTTATTATGATTATGATTAGCATTTTTGGGGTTGGTGGCAATGGTTGCCCACAGTGCCATTTCTTCCATAGAAGAGGGGAAGCATTCCCAACTAGCCAGTTTCTGTCCCCCAACACAAAGCCAAATGGCATGCTTGTTCTCATCAGGCCACAGGTCATTAGAAATGTCATCAGCACTGGAACATATGAATGCCATGAAAACAAAAGGTGAGTGCAGAGGAATCTGTGGATGGTAGCAGCTAAGGAATTTGGCTGGAGCAGAGAAACCTGTCATAGCCATGTCTCAACCCCAGCCAGACTCAGCCTCACATTCACTCAGTCCAGCCTCAGCCTTGCCAATCCCTTATCCCCAGATGGTCTAGCATGGTACACACTGCTTTGCATTGTGGGTCACTTTGGTTGAATTCTGACCTGGTCTTGTCCCCAGTTCACCCTGTCCTGGTCTCCATTACCTTAGTCATACCTTACTAATACTTGTCTTACCAATCATCTTAGCAATCTTTGTGAGACTGGCATTACCAGTCTCCATACTATAGCTACTTCTAGTATATAAGCTCTTAGATACTCAGCCTGTACTCCCCAGTCTGAAATCAAATAAGTTCTATCTGTATTTCTCAGCCTCAGACTCGGACTGAAACCCATGCAAGGGGATAGCACTGTAATCTCAGTCACTAAGTCCAATCAGTCCACCACCTGTATCTCTGCCCCTCCTCCCTGATCCAGCCTCAACCCAGACATCATGAACTTGACAAAACCAATACAAACTAAGGCATGCATGACATGGGAGTGACATCATGTTGGAAAGGGGATGGGGTATGGAATTGCAATTTAACATGGAATTCCAGTTGGAATTTGGAATCACAGGTCAGCTTTGTAGTGTATGGCAACAGAGATAGCTGTTGCCAAGCATTAAAGGATAGAATGAATGAGAAAAAGGAAAAAGTCAGCAATTGATGGCTACCATGAAATACATTGCACTGCAGGTCACTATGAAACTGATGTGGAAAGTTCATGAGTCTTGTCCTTGGTCAAAATGAAGCTTTATGTCTGCATCTAAGCAAGATGAACAATACAACTCATGATGAAGATCTTCTTGTAACCATCCAAGAGGACAATGAGGTGTGAAGAAATGAAGAATGGCAACATTTCTCAGAGTGGAGGCTCAAGACAGCATAACATATGCATGTTGGATACCATGAGCACTCACAAGATCTACTATAACTCTTGTCAGTGAAGCACCCTGAACCTTGTAATCAGTGAAAGCCCACACCAGAACAATAGGCAATTGGCACTGAGTAACTTTGAAAAGCAAATTGTTTTCACCATGATATGTTATAGTGCATGCCTATGGAAAGATGGGCATGAAGTGACTGGCCTTGTTAGGAATGTGGATAGCAGATGTCAGAATTTTGACATACACACATTGAGTGATTCTTACTCCATTAATTTCTTCATATATGATGTCACAAAGAACTCCTTGTGCACTGTTAATGATCTTATACACCAATGCTAAATTTTCGGTAATTTGAACAGGCATTCTGGTGTGAGTCAAAGGGTGGAAAGTTGGTGAAAACCAAATAAAACCAACACCAAAGACAAATAAAGAGCAAGTGGTGGTGTACCTCCATGGAACCTGGAGGGCAGCAGAATCTAATGTGGGGGGGGGGGGAACTATGATAGCAGGTGCTCCTAGCACAAGTCATTGACAAGTTACACAGGAGAAGATGAATGAATGATGAGAGGGTGAGGAATGCTGAACAGAGTGAAGGTATTGGTATTCAGCCAAAAGTACTCCTGGCACAAGTCATTGATGAGTTATGCTGGAGTGAATAGATGACTAAGCAAGGATGAGACTACAGATGATGAATAATGGTAGATAGACCCTTCCAAATGAGCCTCAACTACCAAGGATATGAATGATGACAGATAGAATCTTCCAAATGAGCCTCAACTGTCAATGACAAGTTATGCACTGAACTGACTGCTTGAGTGACTGCTAAATGCTTCTGGACTGCTTGGGTTGTAGCCAAGTACATGGGGTTTATATACTGTGGAGGGAGCACAGCCTATGCCAAATGAGGCACAAATGCTTGGTAAGTAATGAGTAAGGACTGTAAGCAATGAGTAATCACAATGAGTAAGTGAGAAATGAAAAGTAAGCAAGCAAAGGGGATTGGTAAGTATTGGCAATAAACAAGTCAAGGACAGTCAAAATATCACAGAATGAGTCAAAGAATGTCAGAAACTGAGTAAGCATGCTGATATCACATTAGGGGGTGGTGGTGGAAGTCAGATTGTGGTGGAGACACCATTAGATCCAAAGATGGCATGACAGATGGACAGTGTTTCCAGATGGGGAAGTATTAATTCCAGAATTGAAGGGCATGAGTCAGGTGTCAAAGGGCTAGGGCATTGGGGGTCTGTGTGGCAATGGGAGCATAAGTGACCATGCCTCCCACCCATTCATCCTCTCAGCAAAGTTAACAAAACACATCATGAATGAGGCTCTGATGGAGGAGGAGAAGGGGGGATGTCTTCTGCTGGATCTTGCAGTAAGAAGGCAAGATGTATGTCATACTCATCATGAATGCAATCAGGGAGGCTGGAGAACAGTAGACTATGCTGCAGCTGTTGCAATGTGGGGAGAGTGATGGACAAGATTGGAATAAAGACAGTGCAGGGAGCAGGGAGGAATGGATCTGTATGCTTCATCAAGAGGGGAGACCAAAACAACCACATAAGATCTTTCTAACCATGTGACAGACCAGAGGTGACCAAAGAATGTCCTTCTGGAAGTCATACTGACAAGGAGAACACACTGACCAAGCTGCATGGGATGAGATGGGGCTGACAATGATGGAATGAACCAGGGGGCTTCAGGACAGAAGCTGGTGGGAATGCCTGGCAGATGTACATAGCCACTGTCTCTTGCAAAGGAGACAAGTGAGATGATTGACAAAGAGGTGGCCATTTCTGATGGGCCTAGCAAAATGAGCATCTGATGGATGGAGTGCTGTAGAAATGCATAGGGTGTGAGGACCCTCTCCAAATTTGGAAGGCAGAATTGTGTGGCTGAGCACTTTAAGTGAGTGTGAGCACAGAGTCAATATCTTTGGAAATGGTGGAGATATGATGAAAACTGGAGTGCTGTACATGGGCACTGAAAACTTTTAATGTGTGCTTAACTTGCTTCCTCTTTTCTCTTTAGCACTGATGACTTGTTCTTGTGTGAAGGATGACTGCTAACATCCAGCAGTCCTTCTATGCATGAGGGCTTTAGTCTTCATCCACATTCATGGCATGGGCATGGCACACAACTCATCAACAAGTCAGGCAGAGTCAGCTGTAACCATGTCCACAACACCTTTGGTGTGTGACACCAGGTAAAAGTGGAAGCTTTCCTAAAGATTCCTTGGAATCCTTCACACATACCCACAACAAATGCTCATTATCTTCTCCACTCATGGACTGCCCCTTGTGAAAATGCTTGGCATAATAATACTGAAAAGGCTGACCTGTATCAGAAGCATACAACCTTGCTTTCTTGTCATTATATTGATCTTGCAATTGATGCTCCCTGAATACAACAGGTGCCTCCTGGAAACTCTCAAACTCATTGGGTTTTTCCACATGTAAGTGCATCATCAGACAACTCATGAGAACCTTGTAATCTGACTGACCATCTTGGGAGCATGTTGATGCATTACCACTTTGCACATGATTAAGCAGGTCAGCAAAGTTGGGGTCATCTTGCACATGCTGGTTCTTATGTGGTTGAATGACATGACTGAGATTACACCAAATGTAAGCCCCAAACAACCTATGCTGACTTCACACAGTTTTGAAAGTATGTTTATCAAGATTTTGAACCAGATTCCATGAATACAATGCTGCTCCATTCACCAGATGCAACTGTCCCATATTACCTGT